TTCTAAATTTTTCCCTGTTATTCCTAACTTACTTCCAGCGTTCATCCAAAACTGGTATTCCTCCATACTTGCAAGAATAACTTAAACTATCAGGGGAAATGAAACGGGTATTAAAGAAAACGGAGGGTTCAATTCCTGCTCCGCTCAAACTGTAAATAAACCAGAGGGCTCGATCCCTACTTCAATTAAACAATGTGTATTAATTAAAACGAAGGGTTCTATGCCGGCTCCGAGCAAACAGTAAGTAGAATGGGGTCACTTGACCATCCAATCTTCTCACCCACAAATCATGTGTCCTACGACAGTTCCCTTGATATAATAAAGAGCTCAATGAAACAAATTGTCACTGGAAAATCTTGGGTCCCTAGAGTCTAATCCTTCGAAGTGTTTCAAGCTCGAAAAGGTGGCAGAATTAAATATTATATCCTGCCTGACTTGACTTACAATAAATTGAGACTATAACAATCACCAAATCTTTTAAATACCTGTACCGTAGTCCTACCATAGAGAATGATTACTCATGGCCGGTGGTAACCATCTGTGGTATGCGGCATTGAAGTTCCAATGGTAGATTCGAGATGGAGTTGAATCTTGATTCAGTCGAGTTGATCCTGGCAAGGTCGCCACTTGTGAAGGCTTACTCAGCCCTGTAACAACTTCAGTCAGTATTACCAAGGCTGGCTCCTCCTCAGGAAAATTAATGAATAGAAAAAGAAATAATAACAGACAATGATAAACACTTTATTATTTAGAAATGGAAAATGTAAGACAATAAAACATGAATGGGTATCCTAACTGAAAGAAAAATGAAAAATGAAATGAAAAAAATTACATTTGAACTCAAGGCTAATATAGGTATATCGTGGTAATGGGGTGTCAGGTGTTGGTGACACTGAGTGTTGTTGAAATCGTAGCCGTTGCTGATGTGGAGGGGGGGGGGTAGCAGGTGTTGGTGAACAACACTGGCTCGTTCTTCACCAAGTATAGCCATGTGTAATTACTTCAGATGACAGGAAAACAGGTTCGTTACCCCTGCTATGATGAGGGGTTAGGTCCTGTGTTGGCTTACATAACAGGTAAGTAGACTAAACATGGGACGTCTCAGGACGTTAGTACGTCTCCTTCTATTCTTCTCGTTGGTTGGCAGGTGACCCTCTCTGTCATTCCAAGCTGTAATGAGAGACAGATTATCCACTGCTTAAGAAATCACTCTCCATGATAAGTACAATATCTAAAAGATGTGGTGATTATTAAAACATTTAACAGATAAAGAATGAAAGGACTAAGTTAATTATTGGTCAAAAGTGAAGCTTTCAACCAATAAGTCCACTAAAATATGATCAGGTGTGTACTTACAGTAGTGTTGGGAGCTGTGAGTAGAGTGATTTACTGTTTGACCGGAGCCCCACACGTCACCTTTTGGGGGGGGGAAGAGGGAGGGGAAGGGATAGCGGGAGCTAGACTGACCCTACCTTAACAAGCAGCCGGCAATCAAACTATCACTTTCGGGGAGGGGGAAAAAGGGGGGAGGGGGAATAGCGGGAGCTGGACTTACCCTACCTTAACAAGTAGCCGGCAATGAAACTATTGTTACTATACACTCCCTCACTACTCCTATCTATTGAACTTTTCCCTCACAACACGGAATAGACAAGGTGGACAAAGACGGGATGTTCCAGAGAAGGGACACAGACACAAGAGGTCACAATTAGAAGTTGAAGACTCGGATGAATCAAAGGGATGTCAGGAAGTATTTCTTCAGTCATAGAGTAGTCAGGCCATGGAATAGCCTAGAAAGTGACGTAGTGGAGGTGGGAACCATACATAGTTTTAAGGCGAGGTACGATAAAGCTCACGGGGCAGGGAGAGAGAACCTAGTAGCAATCAGCAAAGAGGCGGGGCCAGGAGCTATGACTCGACCCCTGCAACCACAAATAGGTGAGTACACACACACACACACACACACACACACTGCTCATTAAAAACCGGTGGGAATTTGAAGAAATGGAAGGAATGGATGGAATGTGTGAAAGGGACTACTTAGTAGCAACAATCCAGTCTGAGGGCCATAAGGTGGTAATTGATGTAATGTACAACCCGCCACAGAACTGCAGGAGGCCGAAAAAAGAATACGACGAGAGCAACAGAGCAATGGTTGACAAACTAGCCGAGGTGGCCAGAAGAGCTCACACGGTGGAAGCAAAGTTACTAGTTATGGGTGATTCCAATCACAAGGAGACTGAATGGGAAAACCTGGAGCCCCATGGGGGTCCTGAAACATGGAAAGCCAAGATGATGGATGTGGTACTGGAAAACCACATGCATCAACATGTTTGACACACTACCAGAGAGAGAGGTGAGGATGATCCAGCAAGACTGAACCTTGTATTTACCTTGAGTAGTTCAGACATCGAGGATATCAAGTATGAAAGGCCCCTTGGAGCTAGTGATCATGTGGTTCTGTGCTTTGACTACATAGTTGAGCTACAAGTAGAGAGAGTAGCAGGAATAGGATGGGAAAAACCAAACTACAAAAGAGGGGACTACACAGATATGAGGAACTTCCTGCAAGACGTTCAGTGGTAGAGAGAACTGGCAGGAAAACCAGTAAAAGAAATGATGGACTAAGTGATAACAAAATGCAAGGAGGCAGAGGAGAGGTTGTTTCCAAGGCAAACAGAAATAATGGGAAGACTGCATTTTCTTGGACTATAAGAAGGCCTTCGACACAGTTCCTCCGAAGAGGTTAATGCAAAAGCTAGAGGATCAGGCGCACAAAACAGGAAAGGCACTGCAATGCATCAGAGAATATCTGACGGAGGCAACGACGACTCATGGTACGTGACAAGGTGTCAGAGTGGGCGACTGTGACAAGCAGGGTTCCACAGGGGTCAGTCTTAGGACCTGTGCTGTTTTTGGTATATGTGAATGACATGACAGAAGGGATAGACTCGTAAGTGTCCCTGTTTGCAAATAATGTGAAGTGAATGAGGAGAATGAAATCGGTCGAGGATTAGGTAGGACTACAAAGAGACCTGGACAGGCTACTAGCCTGGTCCAGCAACTGGCTCCTTGAATTTAACCCTAACAAATGCAAAGTCATGAAGATCGGGGAAGGGCAAAGAAGACCGCAGACAGAGTATAGTCTAGGTGGCCAGAGACTGCAAACCTTACTCAAGGAAAAAGATCTTAGGGCGAGCATAATACCGTGCACATCTCCCGAGGCACACATCAATCAGATAACTGCTGCAGCATATGGGCGTCTGGCAAACCTAAGGGTAGTGTTCCGATACCTCAGTAAGGAATCATTCAAGACTCTGTGCACCATGTATGTCAAGCCCATACTGGAGTATGTAGCACCAGTTTGAAATCCATACCTGGTCAAGCACATCAAGAAATTAGAGAAAGTGCAAAGGTTTGCAATAAGACTAGCCCCAGAGCTAAGGGGATTGTCCTATGAAGAAAGGTTAAGGGATATCGGCCTGATGACACTGGAGGACAGGAGGTTAGAGGAGACATGATAACATATAAAATACTGCAAGGAATTGACAAAGTGGACAAAGACAGGATGTTCCAGATATGGGACACACAAACAAGGGGTCACAATTGGAAGTTGAAGAAGACTCCGATGAGTCAAAGGGATATTGGGAAGTATTTCTTCAGTTGTATAGTTGTCAGGAAGTGGAATAGCCTAGAAAGTGAAGCAGTGGAAGCAGGAATCATACATAGTTTTAAGACGAGGTTTGATAAACCTCCTGGAGCAGGGAGAGAGAGGACCTAGTAGTGATCAGTGAAGAGGGGCCCATAGCTATGACTCGACCCCTGCAACCACAAATAGGCGACTACGTATGCACGTACGTACGTATGCACGCACGCGCGCACACGCACATGCACATATACACACGTACACGCACACACACGCGCACACACACACACCTGTTTGGAACCCGCACTTGATAAAGCATGTCAAGAAACTAGAGAAAGTGCAAAGGTTTGCAACAAGGTTAGTTCCAGAGCTAAGGGGAATGTCTTATGAAGAAAGGTTAAGGGAAATCGGCCTGACGACACTAGAGGACAGGAGGGTCAGGGAGACGTGATAACGACATATAAAATACTGCGCGGAATAGACAAGGTGGACAAAGACAGGATGTTCCATGGAGGGGACACAGAAACAAGAGGTCACAAATGGAAGTTGAAGACACAGATGAGTCAGAGAGATATTAGGAAGTATTTCTTCAGTCATAGAGTTGTCAGGCAGTGAAATAGCCTAGAAAGTGATGTAGTGGAGGCAGGAACCATACATAATTTTAAGACGAGGTATGATAAAAGCTCATGGAGCGGGGAGAGAGAGGACCCAGTAGTAACCGGTGGAGAGGCGGGGCCAGGAGCTAGGACTCGACTCCTGCAACCACAAACAGGTGAGTACAGTACGTACATACGTGCACGCGCGCACACACACACACGCGCACACGCCACGCACACACACACACACACACACACACACACACACACACACACACACACACACACACACACACACCACATACATATTTTAATTTCTGGGTATGCAACAGTTAAGGTGTTATAAAGCAAGATATTCACAAAGAAGGATAACTAAGCTAGTCCAAATTGAAGATAGAATGCTGCTCATTCTGTAGAGCCGATTACCTTGACATTTGTTGACCCAATACGTACTTGTCAATAACACCCCAAGGCAGCTGCAAGTAGCATGCATCTCACAATTAGCAAGCGAAGAATCAAGCCTCCATCATTCCTTGAGTTGCATGACCCAAACAGGCTCTGAGCATCAAATATGGGATACAATAAGACTTGTCCAATATACATAAATGAATTCAAGCCTAAACAAAAATTCCTAGACTCATACTTTTGTCTTTGATGAAATGAACCTGAATAGCCTATGACTCATCTATTTGTGGAGTCTTAGCTCCTGGCCCTGCCTTTTCACATGGATGTTAAAAAAAAATCCCAGTCAAACTTACTTGTGCTGAGGTACAAGAACAGATTCTCCTGGAGCATAGTAGTTTTTTCCGACTCTAGCCAATTTTAGCACCTTCATGATTCGGTTAAAAAGAACGTTATAAAGCTGGATACATTTGTCCATGTCTGTTTTCTTTTTGTAAAGTATCTTTAGTGTTACAGTTTTCCCAGTTGAAGGGTTTGCAGCATGGTATAAGGCAACCTGAAAAAAAGATAAAACAACGACAAAATGAGAAAACGACTCCAAAGTCTGAAGAGAACTGCAAAAACTCAAATTTAGGTAACAGTCTCTTAGAATCAAATAAACAAAAAAAAAAAAAAAAAGAACTCCATTACTTTATTCAGATTCAAGTATTTTACTTCCTTATGTAAAAATATCACAGTGAAAATAAAAAATAAAACTTAAGCACTTTCATGTGTTTACACACGTTGTCAGAGGAAAAGAAAAAGACGCATGAGAAGCACATTTTAAATGCTTCTCTTGACTCTTCTTCCTATTCCTCTGAGATGTGTGTAAGCACATAAAAGCACTTAGGTTTCATTTCCTATTTTCACTGTGGTATTTTTACATTAGCATTTGCAATCACATGTTTTATTGTGATTTCTTCCATTACTTCCTTATATACTATACAGATTCCATAACAGTATAGTACCTACTAACCTCAGTTGGTAGCCTAAAGGGAAGCCACAACATAGTTCCATCAAAACTTTTTACCGAGCCGATTTTATCTCTAAGTGTGTCAAAAAGGCGAAAACGGAGGTTAAGTATCTCAATTTGTGGTTCAAATTTAACTTCATATTCAAATACAGCTTTATTTTCTTCACAATGTAGTCTAATCCAATTGCACATTGCAGACAACCTAAAATGTATTAAAGTATGCATTCAAAAGCAAGTGTTGGAAAATGTATGAACGAATTAAAAATGATGTACGGCTAAAACAGTTGTATCAAAACGAGGATTTTACAACAATATCAATAATAATAATAATAATAATAATTAAGGGAGCAAGGGGCTAGTAACCCCTTTTCCTGTATAAATTACTAAATATAAAAAAAAAAAACTTTCATTTTTTTTTTTTAGTCACCCTGCCTAGATGAGATACAACCAGTTTGTTAAGAAAATTAATAATAATTAATAAAATTATTTCCATGTTAAATAGATTTTACAAAATTGGATGATAATTAGTAGTTCACATGGAAAAAACCCTGGTTATGCAGGGCATTTCAAGCAAGCCTAAACTTAAAACTAACAGAACATAAAAAAAAAATTATCACATACATGAATACAATTACATTAAGAATGAACATAGAATAAAAGAAATCCTAATGAATATGAGAAACATAAATAGAACTCCTGAAAGGAGAAAGGCAGTGCCAATACTCTGAAGGAGGGGTGGGGATAATGTAGTCGGAGGGTTATTCTGACTGTGGTGCCAGCACACTTCTGGAAAGACAGCAATTGAGTGAATGTTGGTGAGTGCATTTCTTTGGGTCACTCTAACTTTAAGGGAGATGGCTGTTGAGATAAAAAAAAAAAAAATATACACAACTATATTTAAAGTATAGCATGGTACTTGACAAATAAAAAAAATTATGCAAGGTAAATTATTTCAGTCGCAGTATTTGAAACCTAAATCAAAAGATAATCACAAAATAGGAATATTGGAGAACTACAAAGTGGTAAAGGAAAGTCATTACAGCTGAATGTCCAATTTAAAAGCAAATAACAGGAAAGTTACATACCCCCTAAGCTCTTCCATCAGAGGGAGGGGAAGTTAAATATTAAAGTCCTAAACCTACTGTAAAACACTTAGAACACATGTGCAGAAATACTAAAGATTAATGAAAGATATACCAGGTAACAAAAATTGACAAATTTAAGAGCTTAAAAATGACTCACTTTGCTCCTGTACTCCCCTGGCGGACAACTACTTCATCCTGAGAATCTATAGTGCTCAAATTCTGAAGACTTTCAGTTAATGATGATGTATCACCAAATTCTTGAAAAGCAGATTTCCTATAAAAAGGAAAAAAAAATATACAGAATATTGTCGAAGTGTAGGGAAATAACACCTATGAAGAGATTCAGAGTTTTAACCAACTACTGTGGGTTACATCACGGGGAATGTTAAATGAAGGCTGAAGGAACCTCATTTAGCCAAGGAAGGACACCTGTTCCCCAACAGAGCTATGTTCCATATGTGTTATGTTGATTTATGCTGTACTTTACCTGAAAGAAGTTATGCAATTTTTACTCTCCATATTTTTAGCATTAAAGAACTGTAATATAGATTAATATTACCTACTGAGTTTTTTAATTTTCATACTGCAACTTTAATTTTCTCAAAGGAAACTGCTTCCATTTAGTTTAGCATATGCTCTTTGATGGATTATAATATCTGTCGGCCAGTGAACATATATAAACCATTATAGAAACAAAAAAAAATCCCATGCAGGCTAATACAAAACAAGTCAGTTATTTCAACTGTGGTATCAGTGACACTGTAATTAAAGACACACTAACTGTACTTACAATGGTTTAGCTCCAGGCTGAGTAGTAAGATTCTCAATGAAATGAGCATGCAAGAGCTCTGAACAGCCTCTAGCCATGCCTGATTCTATTCGAGTCCTTTCTTTCATTTCAGCTATACTAGCACCTGGAGCTACAATGGCGGATTTTTGCTGTATCAGCTGACTGATGGCTGCCCCTCGGCTAATGCGAAATGAAGCAGCACTGGTAACACTTACATCACTACGTGGTGAGGAGAGGGCAGTGGCACCAGCAATTTGCACACCAGCACCTCTTGACTGATTGAAAAAGGCAGCTTAATGGAACAAAAATTTTAATAACAATTGGCAATACAAAAAAAGGCATAAAAAGAATAATCTCATAAGATGCTTAAAAAGATAATGAAAACAGATAATGTAATTCTAATGTTATAGACATGCATGCAAACAAACCCATACATGCACGTGAACACATGCACACATGCACACAAACCCCCCCCCCCACACACACACACACACAGTGAACACATGCATGCATACATACAAGGCTAACACAGAGTGCTTCTGGCAACTGGCAAGTTGAGAGAGAGAGCCAGGAGCTGAGACTCAACCTCTGGAACCACAAAGAGGTGAATACATATAATACATATGTGCATGCACACATAGGCATACACAAACACAAACACACACACACAAAAAAAAAATTAAGGCTTGCCAAACTTCAGTAGAAGATATTCTTCTAATTGAGAGTAATAAATCTATTGAACAGTCTACCCACCAAAGCTGTCGAAAGCCAAAATAAACGAATCAAATTTCATCCTGTAAACTACTCAAGATGGTAGCTGACCTATTTCTTTAAATTGCTCTTTTTTTTTTTTTCTTCAACAAGTCGGCCGTCTCCCACCGAGGCAGGGTGACCCAAAAAAGAAAGAAAATCCCCAAAAAGAAAATACTTTCATCATTCAACACTTTCACCTCACTCACGCATTATCAATGTTTTTGCGGAGGTGCTCAGAATACAACAGTTTAGAGGCATATACGTATAAAGATACACAACATATCCCTCCAAACTGCCAATATCCCAAACCCCTCCTTTAAAGTGCAAGCACTGTACTTCCCATTTCCAGGACTCAAGTCTGACTATATGAAAATAACCAGTTTCCCTGAATCCCTTCACTAAATATTACCCTGCTCACACTCCAACAGATCGTCAGGTCCCAAGTACCATTCGTCTCCATTCACTCCTATCTAACACACTCATGCACGCTTGCTGGAAGTCCCAGCCCCTCGCCCACAAAAACCTCCTTTACCCCCTCTCTCCAACCCTTTCAAGGATGACCCCTACCCCGCCTTCCTTCCCTATAGATTTATATGCTTTCCATGTCATTCTACTTTGATCCATTCTCTCTCAAAATGACCAAACCACCTCAACAACCCCTCTCTTTGTCACTCTGACTAATTCTTTATTAACTCCACACCTTTTCCTAATTTCCACACCCGAATTTTCTGCATAAATTACACCACACATTGCCTCTAGACAGGACATCTCCACTGCCTCCAACCATCTCCTCGCTGCTGCATTTACCACCCAAGCTTCACATCCATATAAGAGTGTTGTAGTACTATACTTTCATACATTCCCTTCTTTCCTCCATAGAAAACATTTTTTGACTCCATACATATCCTCAACGCACCACTCACCTTTTTACCTTCATCAATTCTATGATTAACCTCATCCTTCATAAATCCATCCGCCGACACGTCAACTCCCAAGTATCTGAAAACATTCACTTCTTCCATACTCCTCCCCAATTTGATATCCAATTTTTCTTTATCTAAATCATTTGATACCCTCATCACCTTACTCTTTTCTGTGTTCACTTTCAACTTTCTACCTTTACACACATTCCCAAACTCATCCACTAACCTTTGCAATTTTTCTTTAGAATCTCCCATAAGCACAGTATCATCAGCAAAAAGTAACTGTGTCAATTCCCATTTTCAATTTGATTCCCCATAATTTAATCCCACCCCTCTCCCGAACACCCTAGCATTTACTTCTTTTACAACCCCATCTATAAATATATTAAACAACCATGGTGACATTACACATCCCTGTCTAAGACCTACTTTTACCGGGAAGTAGTCTCCCTCTCTTCTACACACCCTAACCTGAGCCTCACTATCCTCATAAAAACTCTTTACAGCATTTAGTAACTTACCACCTATTCCATACCTTGCAACATCTGCCACATTGCCCCTCTATCCACTCTATCATATGCCTTTTCTAAATCCATAAATGCAATAAAAACTTCCCTACCTTTATCTAAATACTGTTCACATATATGCTTCAATGTAAACACTTGATCTACACATCCCCTACCCACTCTGAAACCTCCTTGCTCATCCGCAATCCTACATTCTGTCTTACCTCTAATTCTTTCAATTATAACCCTACCGTACACTTTTCCTGGTATACTCAGTAAACTTATTCTTCTATAATTTTTACAGTCTCTTTTGTCCCCTTTCCCTCTATATAAAGGGACTATACATGCTCTCCGCCAATCCCTAGGTACCTTCCCCTCTTTCATACATTTATTAAACAAAAGTACCAACCACTCCAACACTATACCCCCCCCCCCCACTTTTAACATTTCTGTCATGATCCCATCAGTTCCAGCTGCTTTACCCCCTTTCATTCTATGTAATGCCTCACGTACCTCCCCCACATTTACATTCTGCTCTTCTTCACTCCTAAAAGATGGTATACCTCCCTGACCAGTGCATGAAATTACCGCCTCCCTTTCTTCCTCAACATTTAAAAGTTCCTCAAAATATTCTTGCCATCTACCTAATACCTCCCTCTCCCCACTACTAACTCCCCTACTCTGTTTTTAACTGACAAATCCATACTTTCCCTAGACTTTCTTAACTTGTTTAACTCCAAAATTTTTTCTTATTTTCATTAAAATTTCTTGACAGTGCCTCTCCCACTCTATCATCTGCTCTCCTTTTGCACTCTCTCACCACTCTCTTCACCTTTTTTTTACTCTCCATATACTCTGCTCTTCTTATAACACTTCTGCTTTGTAAAAACCTCTCATAAGCTACCTTTTTCTCTTTTATCACACCCTTTACTTCATCATTCCACCAATCACTCCTCTTTCCTCCTGCCCCCACCTATAACCACAAACTTCTGCCCCACATTCTAATACTGCCTTTTTAAAACTATTCCAACCCTCTTCAACGCCCCCACTACTCATCTTTGCACTAGCCAACCTTTCTGCCAATAGTCGCTTATATCTCACCCGAACTTCCTCCTCCCTTAGTTTATACACTTTCACCTCCCTCTTACTTGTTGTTGCCACCTTCCTCTTTTCCCATCTACCTCTTACTCTAACTGTAGCCACAACTAAATAATGATCCGATATATCGGTTGCCCCTCTATAAACATGTACATCCTGGAGCCTACCAATCAACCTTTTATCCACCAATACATAATCTAACAAACTACTTTCATTACGTGCTACATCATACCTTGTATATTTATTTATCCTCTTTTTCATAAAATATGTATTACTTATTACCAAATCTCTTTCTACACATAGCTCAATTAAAGGCTCCCCATTTACATTTACCCCTGGCACCCCAAATTTACCTACTGCTCCCTCCATAACATTTTTACCCATTTTAGCATTGAAATCCCCAGCCACCATTACTCTCCTACTTGATTCAAAACTCCCCACGCATTCACTCAACATTTCCCAAAATCTCTCTCTCTCCTCTACACTTCTCCCTTCTCCAGGTGCATACACGCTTACTATAACCCATTTTTCACATCCAATCTTTATTTTACTTCACATAATCCTTGAATTAATACATTTATAGTCCCTCTTTTCCTGCCATAGCTTATCCTTCAACATTATTGCTACTCCTTCTTTAGCTCTAACTCTATTTGAAACCCCTGACCTAATCCCATTTATTCCTCTCCATTGAAACTCTCCCACCTCCTTCAGCTTTGTTTCACTTAAAGCCAGGACATCCAGCTTCTTCTCATTTATAACATCCACAATCATCTCTTTCTTATCATTTGCACAACATCCACGCACATTCAGACTTCCCACTTTGACAATTTTCTTCTTATTCTTTTTAGTAATCTTTACAGGAAAAGGGGTTACTAGCCCATTGTTCCCGGTATTTTAGTTGACTTTTACAACACGCATGACTTACGGAGGAAAGATTCTTATTCCACTTCCCCATGGATACAAAAGGAAAAGTAATAAGACCAAGAACTATTAAGATAAAATCAAAGAAAACTCAGACGAATGTGTACAAATAAACGTGTTCATGTATGTGTAGTGTGACCCAAGTGTAAGTAGAAGTAACAAGACATACCTGTAATCTTGCTTATTTATGAGACAGACAAAAGACACCAGCAATCCTACCATCACGTAAAACAATTACAGGCTTTCATTTTACACTCACTTGGCAGGACAGTAGTACCTCCCTGGGTGGTTGCTGTCTACCAACCTACTGTCCATCTTTATTTGCAAAAGATTTATATCTGTGTAAAGGTAGAAAGCTGAAAGTGAACACAGATAAGAGTAAGGTGATGAGGGTATCAAACAATTTAGACAAAGAAAAATTGGAAATCACACTGAAGGGAGGGAGTATGGAAGAAGTGAATATTTTCAGATATTTGGGAGTTGACTTGTCAGTGGATGGGTTTATGAAGGATGAGGTTAACCACAGAACTAATTGAGGAAAAAAGGTGAGTGGTGTGTTGAGGTATCTGTGGAGACTAAGAACATTATCCATGGAGGCAAAGAAAGGAATGTACAAGAATATAGTGGTACCAACACTCTTATATGGTTGTGAAGGATGGACTGTAAATGCTGCAGCGAGGAGGCAGCTGGAGGCAGTGGAGATGTCGTGTTTAAGGGCAATGTGTGGTGTAAATATTATGCAGAGAATTCATAGTGTGGAAATTAGGAGGAGCTGTGGAGTTACTAAAAGTCAGAGGGATGAAGAGGGGTTGTTGAGATAGTTTGGTTATTTAGAGAGAATGGAACAAATCAGAATGACTTGGAGAGCGTAAAGAAGGTTTTGTGGGTGAGGGGCTTGCACTTCCAGCAAGCATGCATGAGCGTGTTAGATAGGAGTGAATGAAGATGAATGGCATTTGGGACCCGACGAGCTGTTAGTGTGTGAGCAGGGTAATATTTTGTGAAGGGATTCAGAGAAACTGGTTAGCCAGACTTGAGTCCTGGAAATGTAAAGAACAATGTCTGCACTTTAAA